TTAGGCAAAGTGCTGATGCAAGTTTTGGTAATGCAAAGTCTTATGGCAAAACAGGCAAGTTGTTCAGGCTCTCGGTATTAAGCAATTCTTTGTCAAAAATAGGTGATTTGTGTTCATAAATCCAAAAGAATCTCCATGACAATAATCTAAAGGACTGATTAGAGCAGAGAGTAGGTGGAATTTCTCCAAGTACTCATTTTTACTGATTTTTCTCCGAAAAAAAATAAAACCTCCCACACACATTAGAAAGCTACTACTGCATATTCCTCCCTGGTTCTCATGAGTCCAAGCTTTTCTATCTTAAACTTTAACCCAACTTATTTTTAAAAGTATTTTTAAAAATGCAACTATGGCTTAAATATAATCTGTAATCTAATAACTCCATAAATCCAAAACAGTTCAAATTTTTAAATCATTTCAGGGATTATTTTATTCATGAAACCATGATGAATAATTTATTATTGATATACACAAAAGAATGTTGGATAAATAGGAATGAAAATACAAGTCCAAAATGCAATAATATTTAAAATATATAAGGAAATGATTAATTGGTTAGTTGAATAAATCATACACAACAATAGCTAGGGGCAAGTTCAGTAACTTCAAATCAGGTTTTCGAATCAAATGATGGGTTTTAGAAAAAAAAAAGTGGATGGGATGGAGATTTCCTGTGGAAAATCTAGTGAAGTCATTTAATTTTTTCTTTCATCTTTTAGAACTCACCTCAGTGAGCTGTACAAATGTTATTGCTTATTTTCCACATTGGCAATATGAAGTGCACAAGTCAAATAATGATTGAAACCTGCTCCTTGATCAGAGCAGAACCATTCTTCTATATAAATCAACATGCATGAGACCCTGACATGACAATATCTTTCCATCGGAAAGCAAAATCATAGATCATTTTTCCCCTTGAGTCAGGCTGGGAAAGTTTCTGCGTATAAAGCCAGCGGTTCCTCTTTCAGGTTCTGTGTGTCCTGCTTTTTTCCCCCAGCCCACTCCCTCACAGGGGACTGTGACTAGACAGACTAGGACCATTTCCCTACTCACTAACATTCGCTCCAGCCATTCAGCAGTTTATGCCAGGACTCTCCTCCTCCCTCTTCTCCTTTACGTTATGTGAATTAATTCTGCTTGCAGCAGCATTTACCCAGGCTGCTCTCCTGTCCCCTCCACAATGACATAAGTTAATCACCACAGTTTAAGCACAGTAAATGGAAGTCAGTTCACCTGTCTCTCTAGAAATTAAGCCATCTTCCCTAAATATGGCCAAAATGTGCACAATTTTAATACCTCTATGTTATTATTTACAGAGCCACTCAGTCCCTTCTCTCTCGGCTTTGCTTTCCCAGAACACATTCCAGGAGAACATGTGGCTCCATACAAAGAGATAAAGCAGATCTTTCCCTTAGATCATCATCTAAGGGAGGCAGAGATGTGCGTTTGGCTCAGATCCCTAGCTGAAGTCAACAAACGATTTATATCACTTGAGGATCCAGCCACTTAGGTGAGATTGCTGAGTGACTTAAGTACCTCTGTGCTGTGCTTCAGGGCCGGCCTTGCCAGCTGCACACAGCTGCTCACACGGTCTGCCAAACCTCTCTCTGCTCAGTACTGCTCATACCACTCTCCCCTCCTGCAGAGTTCAGCATTTGTACCCCTTAGGCCACAGTCTTCAGTACAGCGGCACCACTGGCCCATGCTTTTGAGTCTTTTTTTAAAAATCACTCAACATTCAATTTCATCTAGCAGCTAGCGTAGTCATTTTGCCTTTATACCTTCTCCAAAGTCCTGTCTTTTATTTCACCCCAAGGCTTCATTCGCAGATTAAATTTTAAGCAGAAAGTCAACCTTGTTCAAACAAATAATGACATTCCCTGAATTGTCTCAGGAAGACCCAATGGCAGCTGAGATGGAAGCAGAGCTTCTGGCTCTGCTTAACAAGTGATCACTCTGCTGGAATCAACTTTGTGAATGACTGCAACATGAGGCTTATATTTCTTCAGCTAGGAAAGAGTATTCACACATATGAGCCTGTAACAGTGGTTAGAAGAGATGAGAGAGATCCTGGTCTGATCAACTCAATGTGGTGGTTTCCCCTCCTGTAACTAAACTAATGCAATTACAGCATGGATTTTCCATGCAGTCTATAGACTCCATATAAAGAGATAGAAAAATAAAGGACATCTTGAAACATTTAGTGAGAGTTATTAAGTGATGTCTTTTCTTATCTGTTATCACCTCTGCAAATATATCAACTTGAAAGCTACTTACCATGCATTGCCATTTTAAAAGTAAAATACTTTGCAAACAGAGGCCAATATGAATTGGTCAAAACCTGTAAACACATATGAACCTCTCAGATGGCACAGTACCAGGAAGAGATTATGCTATCTGACAGTTGCCACGGATGAAGTTTTCTAAAGATGGATGCTAAGAGATGGAGCCATGACAGATGTGTAACCCTAAAAGAAAAGAATGGAAAATCAATGAGAACTAAGAAAGACCATCCAAAAGCCAGAGCCAAGAGCGCACTTCAGATTCCTGCAATGTGCCACTAGAGAAAGTCTTTCAGAACATTAAAAAATTAAATTCTGAATGTAGATTGATTCAGTGTCAAATATGCAAAAAGAAGTATCTGTCTATAGTTTTATGATGTTACACAGCTACATTAATTTTGGTAGAAGAGGTAATTTAAATCCTTTGGGAAACATTATCCTCTTGATATGAGCACATAACTCAGATTAATAGGATTTGCATATGCATAGCACTAAGGAGAACAACCCTGAGTTTGGAAAACAGCTTTGTATTTTAATCAGTTTAGAAAGGCCAGCAAAAATATATACTGGGTTCTAGTAATTGAACAGCATTTGTTAACTTGTGCTAGATAATAATTGTGAGTCAATTGATCAATAGTTAGAAAAACAATAAACAAGGATATTTTGGAAAAGTAAACAAAATGTGAATAATGAACAGTCAATGTAATCTAATCAAAAAAAGCAGGTAGAATTTGCCTTGTTAATCACCTTAAATTCTTTTTTACAGGCCAGACCAAATTTATGCCATATCCAAATTGTATAATTAACTCTGTGTATGCAATCTCTCAGTTGTTCAACAATACGGATAACAGCAGTAATGGTATAATTATAACTTACAGTCTGAAGTAGATAAAAACCTCCTAGTTCTTAACCAGTGGTTGTAATTAAGAGTGGAGAAGGGTAATATTCAGAGCATCTGTTTATGCTCCATTAATAAGATTGGATTCCACGTTCCAACACAGCAACACTTCACCGCAACCCTGCCTATGTCCAGCAACAAGGCAATGCCTGGGAAACACAACTTGACTTGAAGGGAATCAGCTCCATAAGTAGGGGTTGAGCAGCGGCTGTAGACGGGGAATGCATCAAACAGGAAGCGTGCTAGGAACAGGTTATTTCCTGTGCCCTAAGCATGTCTTTGCTCGCTACTGCATCAATGAGTGGAGGAAACGGCATTTTGTGGCAGAGGGGAATAAATACACATGTCCTTGTGTGCGCACACACACACAGAAACAGAGCCCTGGCAGAGACGAGGCGGGCAGAGGGAGGTGATTCCCAGCGGGCGCCGATCAGCCCCGCACCCCGTTCAGCACCACGGCGGCGGACAGCGCCGCTCCGCCCCGCACCCCGTTCGGCACCACGACCCCCCGTTCAGCACCACGGCGGCGGACAGCGCCGCTCCGCCCCGCACCCCGTTCAGCACCACGGCGGTGGACAGCGCCGCGCCCCGCTCCTGGCGCCCGCCACCCGCAGGAAGGGCCCGTGGGGACACATGCCACCCCCGCGCGTGGGGACCCTGCCCCTCCACCCCCAGGCCCAGGCTGGGAACCAGTGCGCTTCATCCCGCCGTCCTCCAGTGTTTCCTAAGGTATCAAGGGTTATTTGGCATCCTCTATTACACATTAATAACACGGTTTTCTTATGCAAAGTTGCTGGACACTAACTTCAGAAATACTTTTTTTAAGCACACGCACACACCAGATTAAAGACTACTGCACCTTATAAGCAGCATGTTTCAGAAGTAAACTGGCCCCTAGCACCATCAGGTACAAACAAAAGTGGCTAAGCAAATTTTCTAACACTCCTTTCCCCAGTGCACATAGTTCCCAGGTGCAGGCCTCTTAGTTTGCACTTCCTCAGAAGTGACACCCAGAGAGACAGCCCAAAAGCTCAGAAACAAGCGGGAACCACGGGCACGTTTCAATTGCCTTAGCTCACTCACTCGATATGGGTTGCTAAGCAATTTTTTTTTTTTTACTAAAGCTCAAAACTACTCACTGCCAGATGGATTAATGAAAACACACACTTGCTATGCTTCAGACACTTTCCATTTATGTTTCTCAATACACCAGGACTGTTTCTTTCAATTATTTATTTTAAAGGAATTAGATTCCCAGGTTTGAAAGCAAAGCTCTGCTACACATATTAAAGGGAGCAGGGGAAATAGGAGGAAGAGAGAAAAGCTGAGCACAATTACCAAATTTTCCTGTGTGTTGTAGGAAAGAGGTACCTAGAGACTTGCACATCTTCCAGGATTTGTTGTAGTAATGCCAGCGTGCCTAGCTCAGCATAAAGATGAGAGGCACCAGGTAACCTCAAGGTGCCTTCCTCTTCACCAGGTTACCTATTCATGACAGTATCACCTGTGACAGTGCAAGCCAACACAGGATGCATTTTGGCAGTCCAACCACATGTACAGAGCCTCTTTTTGCACACAGACATGCTCCTTCCCATTTCACCTCCTTCTTTGCTCCCAGCTCCATAGCGCTGGAATTCGGCACTGTGGGCCAACTGGGTCACCACCCAACTTACCTACAGCTCGTTTATTTTTTTTTTTTTGGGGGGGGGGGGCTGTTGCTTAAAGAAGTCATGACGTGAAGGCAACAGGGTGCGCACCCAGGGCCGGGGGGCAGCGGGGAGGGGTCCCTGCGGCGGGGGGCACGGCGGGGCCGCTCTCACCTGCGTCGAGGTTGAAGGAGATGCGCGCCTCGGCCAGGTACGGCGTGTCGCTCTTGGAGCGCACCCTGCGGATGGGCCGCCGGTCGATGTCCTCCTCGGATGAGGCCGCCATTAATGTGGGCACGGTGAGCAGCGTGGCCCGGCGAGCTGAGGGCGAGCGGCGAGCGGCGGCGCGGGGCGGCGGGGGAGGAGGAGGAGGAGGAGGACGGGGAGGGGGGGAGGAGGAAGAGGCGCGCGGGAGGGGGAGGGGAGGAAGGGGGGAAAGGGAGAGGGATGGGGAGAAAAGAGCGCAGGGAGAGGGGGGGGAGAGAGAGGGAAAACCCGTCAAGGATCTGCGGACGGGAGCGGCGGCCCCGGGCCCCGCTGCCCCTTCCCGCCGAGGCGCGGCGCGACCCGCTCCGAACGCTCCGGCCCGGCCCGGCTCGGCCCGGCGCGGTCCAACCCGGCGGCGCCGCGCCCGAGGAAGGCAGCGGCTCCGGCTCCGGCTCCCCGAGCCTTCCGCGACCTCCCCCGGAGCCCCCGGGCTCCCCAGGGCTCCCGAGGGGCCGAGGTGCTGCCCCTTCCCGCCCGCCTTGGCCTCCGCGCTGGGCTCGCCCGCTAACAGGGTGACACGGGGTGCCCAGCGGTTTCAATTGCCAAGGTGGCTGAGGGGCTTTGCGCCATTGCTCCTTTTTTTATTTTTATTTGTAATGACTTTGTCACTTAAAGCTTGGGACTCAAGCTTTTTTCATGTTCAGATCTCCCAGTGGCAGGTGTCTGGGGAAAAAAAACCAAACAAATAAATGACCCCGCATCTGTTTATTCTTGCATCTATGTTTTAGTTCTATCAGAGAGCAGAAGCAGGGTTTTTATTTGCAGCCCAAAGCCAGAGTTAGGAGTTGTGGGTTTGGATTCCATCTTCAGTCTAAAACGTTCCTTCATGTGGTCCTAAGTAAAGATAAGCGACCTGGCCCTTTGGTCACAAAATGAGGATGAGGTTTTGGTTGCCTCATTCTCTCCATAACATCCAGCTCTTGGTCTGGAGGTTGTTTCTTATGTGTTTGTGGACTGCCTACCTTACTGGGATCTTAGGATGTTCATGTAATACAAATAAAAAAAAAATGTTTTCTTTAAAATTAATTAGCATGGAAGTGCTACACAAAGTAAGAGTTTAACAATTACAATATATAGCAGGGAGTGTACCAGTTCATTCCTTAATTCAGATGGTGTAAAGAAAGCATGATCTGCTTAGAGCTGCCAAGTTGTCCGGCAGCTCAGAAATCTTTGGTTTGGGGTGACCTCCTTAATAAGCATTTCAGGAAATGCGGGGGCTGCCTTAGCTCTGCAGGCAGCCCCTGGCAGCTCTGAACTGTTTTGGGGTGGTTCTCTTACTCATCCTGCAATAGTTCTCTCTTACACTTTTGCCAATAACCCTAGCTATGTTTTGGGCCATGCAGGGTCTTTCTCCATGATTAGGTCTATCTATCCATCTCCTTGTTAGGTGTAGCTTAATTCTGCTGTTAGGTCTAATTATCCCTTTATAAATGTGCAGAACTGCTACCCTGTTTCTTGTTGGCTGGACAGGATAGGGTGCAAATAGGTCTTGTTTGCAAATCCGTTCTTTCCTTGTTTACAAAACCATTCTTTTTGCTGTCTTTTTGATCTCCTTGGCTGAAGACCCAGGCTAACCCCTGGGAACATGTCTAGTTAGCACTGGCAGGAGAACTTTGGGAATGATTCATGTTCAGATGTCCTTGGTGATCCACCATGCCACGAGGTGAGCAAGGAGTTACTGTCTGGTATGCATACAACACTGTGAAGTCTGCAGTTAATACCATACACTGCTCTTAAGGGAGGAAAGGCTATGGTCATACCTGAATTATCCAGGTTCAAGCAGATCCTTGCCTCTTCCAGGTAGGGGGTGTCACTCTTAGACCGGAGTCTTCTGATGGGTCTCCGGTCGATGTCCTCCTCTGAAGACGCTGTCATCAGTGTGGGCACAGTGAGAAGAGTTGCCCGACGAGCTGATAAGAAAGAAGGGGAGAACAGTGGAACACAGGCGAAAGGGAAAGGAAAAAGAAGGAGAAATAGTGGAGAGGGAGGTGGGAGGAGGAAAAAGGAAAAAGAAAATCATTCTGCATAAAATAAAACCTTTACTATGTAGCAAAAGAAGCTGTTTCCTGAAGGTCCCTTTCTCCCATGCTGCAGCATTTAAATGCTGCGCTGAATGATGCAAAGACAAGATGAGAAAAGAAGGCTAAGCAGGGTGCCCTGAAGATACAGGTTCTGCTCTGTTTCTGTCACAGAATTCCTATTTGATGTTCCTAGTCTTGCCACTTAAACTGCTGTTTTCACAGCTGTTCACATGCTGCAGCCCCTGTGTTCTCCACAGAAGTTTTGAGGCTGTGGTGTCTGAGTAATGGGAGTATTAAGTACTCTGTTTTCCGAAGGCAGTGGAGGCTGTGCTTGGAGCACAAGAAGTGATACCTACAGCAGCTCTCTCCAAATTCAGTTTCTTGATGCTTTAATTTGGCCATTGAAAGTCACAGATGCTTTGTGCTTTTTATCTCTTTATGTCTAAGTTTCTTATCTATGAAAAGGGGGAGGGTGGAGGGGTCATAATTTTCCTTCCTAGTAGATTTTGTAAAAATATAAATTCATTAGTATTTGTAAACTACCCATATACTTTAGTGAAGCACCAATGAAAAGCCCAAAGGAAATGGCTATTTCTCTCTTCCGAACAGGGTTTAAATGGCTTGAGGTCATGTCTTCAATGAGGAGAAAGGAACATATTTAATACTGGCTTATTAAGTGAGCACTGCCCACTCTGTGCACTGATAAAACAAGTTGTAGGATAGTAAAAAATTACTGAGTCATCATGTAATTACAAACTGTACTGTAATACATATGTATAAGGCAAGTGAATAAATGTTTCGGAGGCCTAAGAATTTAGCACTTGACCCCACAGTCTTGATAATGTATCTTTAATGTAGGTTTTTTTATGTGAAAAGCAGTTATGGGTGTCTGCCCAATGCTCTGGGTCACAAAGAGGAACCCCTATAGATATATTCCCCTTAACTCTCTCTCTGAGTAGAAAAAGGTTATCACAAATGCTGGATGGCATCTGGTTGACCCCTTCAGGCATGAGTATCATGCTGGGTAGGGACCCTGCATTTTTCTCCTCTCTGTCTGGAAAGAGAATTCCTGCTTGAAAGTCCAGCCTTACACTTAAAGCGGGTCTCTCAAGAGCTACTGACATCTACTTTAATGCAGGACTACTTAAGAGAATGTATTCCCTCTTTCAAGAGAGCCTCCCAAAAATATACAGCTTAGGAGGTTCACACCACCTCTCAAATGTTATCCCTTTGTTAGCACTTTGACATGGGCTTGGGAGAGCTGGGTTTAATTCTTGTGCCTGATGCAGCCCCACATATCCTTGCCGTTAGATGGGAGGTGGTGTATCCTCACACTCTTTCCAAAGGATCCAAAAGAATCCAAAAACCCTGGATTTTTCTTGCTGTTTGGGCATCATCTGGAGTGACAATTCATAATTTTGAGTTTTTTGTTAGCTACCACACTTCAAATGGCAATGAAATTCTGTTTTCCTGCTGGGGATGGAGAGCACAACTGACTGACAGTGACTAACAGCAAATTCTACAGTTTTGTAACAGAGATTGTCTTTAAAGAGCTTTTTTAGAGTTCTAAATAATATCTGTCTAGTAGAAGCCTTCAGATGCCTAACACCAGTCAGGCTTTAGGCATGATAGCATATAATTAATATGATTTAACAAAAGCTGCCACTATGTATTTTTCAATTTGCAGAATTATGTGGTTTACCAAAGAAATATTGGTCTTGGTATTTCTGCTCTAGACTATCTGGGTTTTGGGTTTAAGTAGCTTTCTTTCAAGATTTTGCTCATTTCTAATTTACCACGTGGATTTGAAATAGAAGCAAAGGGCAAAATTGATTTACTGGGATCAGCTGTTCAGATCATGGTAAAGCAAACATCGCTATTAGACTGTAAACTATTTCTCTCTTGTAATGAATGTACAGTACAAAGATAAAGGCAAATGGAAAATTTCTGCAATGGAAAACTTCGTATAATGCCTCATCAAATTTGCAGTTAAGGACGATTTATTTTTACATGAAGTCAACATTGTAAAAATTATCTTGTAAGACAGCCATGTACAAGATTTGTCTGATAAAACTGATCCAGTGTCAGATTAAGTTAGGGAAAGAGTACCCATGCAATTTAATGGGTTGCTGGATCAGGGCATAGGACACTATTTGAAAAAAAAAAGAACGATTTTAATATTCCATTATTGTATGCAGAAGATGAGTGAGTTTTTCTTTGTGATTATTTATAAATAATTTTTACTTTGTGTATAAAAATATTGGAGTCTGGCATATATTTATTTTTACTAGAGGTAAATGGGTATTGGAAGATGTTTCCCGAAGCAATCAAAAAATATGACTTCCACAGCCATGATTATCTCCCCTTTACATATATATTTTTAAGTATTTCCTGAAAGATGTATTCATGGAAAAACTAGATATTTTAAGTAAATACTGAAAAAAAAATAAGATGGAGATAGTATATTACCATTCCTTACATAACCTGTGGCATTCCTTATGAAGCTCTGCCTTTTTCTTTTTAGTAAAGCTATCACCATTAGCCCCATATGACCAATGTGTCTATCCAGATAACATTTTTAGCTTCAGATACTTTCCACAAATTAGTTCAATCTCTGATAAACATTTTTAAGTGATGGCTTTACAGGAAAGTTATAAAGGTCTCTTGGAGTCAAAAGCTGCACTGCAGTACGTGTTAAAAGACGGCTCACACTGCAAGTACATTTGAGACTAGTGTCTGGAAATTCAATGTAAACAGCTAGTCTAAATGCTATATTTTTCTTAGAATGGGAATAGAGAATGAGAATTCTAAGAACAGTGAATTCTTAGAATGAGAAATAACTCATTTGAGTTAAATTCATTCTGTTTGCATTGCTTTTGATAGAGTTACAGGGAGATAACACGTTAGCGATATCTTGCTTGGTATTTGTTAGAAAAGGAAAAGAAGACTTATGTGGGAAAAAAATCTTACAGAAAAGATGCTGTAACATATGTAATCACACACTAAAATTAATTATATATAATTGCAAATTCATTATCTCAAAATACTGTGTGTTATTGAACTATGACACAAACCCACACTTAGAAGAGGGGAATGGGAAATATACAAATGATCATATTGCATTAGAGGCAATTTAAGCAGGAATTTAAGCATAATAAGTTAGATCTACAAGTGATCAATTTTTTGAATATTGCTTGAAAATACAGAAAACATGGAGGGTTACAAATAATTTTTGGCATTTTGTTTTTTTCCATTAAAATACAATTTTACATATTTTAATAAAAAAAAGTGCTAATTTTTGTTTGCCAATAAGTATTCTTTGTTTTATAATGTCAAAATCCAGGTATTTTAAGACTTATATTTTTAGAATAGCTTTGGTTTTTTAACCTGAAAACTTTCAGAAGTGAAAAGTCATCCATCCAATATTGATCAGAAAACCCACATTATATATTTGGATTGCATTGAAAAGTATATGTTTCTGATGCATATAATCAAAAGCAACTTCAGCTAATGTGCAAATAGCCATAGAGGAATGATTTTTTACATCAAAAGTTTTCCAGACTTTTTTTGAGGAAAAAACATTTCACGGGATAAATTTTGAACCGATTATCTTAAGAATACCTGTGGTATTATTTTAATTGCAAGGCTGCTGTTGCTGATTGAGTAAAATTCTTTTGTGGTACATATTTTCATTAGAAAGTGCACAAGCTTCTTCCTTGAGTGAATTTTACTGGCATTCTCTCCTCTTTCAGTTCTGCTCCTCCTTCAAGCTTACCTGGAAAGGGCTCAGTATAGTAAGCTAGATTTAGATAACACTCACATAAATGTATTTCTGGATAAATAAAAGCTTTAGAATCATAAATCCAGGTTTGTTTTGATGCATCTAGAATATGTTTTTCTTCCATCTGGGCAAAAAAAGATGAATATTATTTAAAGCCTGTCCAAACAATGGGTCCTGGGGATGCTTACTACGAAGTAGAATCACATGGTCTGATTTAATGGCATTTCTTTTTCATTTTGCTTTAAATTCAAGAGATGAAGAACAACATTCGAAGGATTAGAGAGGTGAAATGGGGCATGACAGACAGGAGAGAAAAGAAGTAGAATGTGTGCAAACACTGAAGATGACATAATTTGTCATTTATGAAGAATGATTTATAGGCTTGTAACTCCTGGATAAACAGAGAAATACATGCATATAGATTGCTGCATTTTGCTAAAGCAAAGGTGTTGAGACCTTTGACACTGGCTTGACGGACATCAATAACCTGAAAGAAAGGACTTAGATAGGTGGTTTCAGAACACACGCCTAGGAGTTGTATGCAATAGTGTATATATACACGCTATTGACCATCATTCTTGGTTATTAAAGCTGGGTAAATGCATGCACAGGATGCCCATGTGACATTTTTTTGTGTGCATTTTAGAAGAAACAAACTTGTTCTTCCGCCTTTGTGTCAAAAGGTGTGGGCTTCAGAAAACAACTGTGCTTTAAAAAAAAAGGAGGGCTAGATTATAAGGTATGGAGAAATAGTGACTTAGTTATTTTAACTAGAAGAAATAAAGGAATAAATGAAGGACAGTAAATCCAGCAGAAATAATAAGTGTGATTCATGCATAAGCTTTCCATATGTAGTGGTATCTAGCACTGGACAGCAAAGAATTTTTAATATATAGATAGCTTGCTGAGAATTAGGGAACCTTTATTTCTTCTACCTGTAATTTAGTTGACCTGATATTGAAATAATGAACAAAAAGTAGCTGAAGTGACATCATTGCAACTAATAAAGAACAATTTTTATGCAACTGGTGAAGATAATGTATCTAACCTGCAGGCCAGAGACTCAAATGAGAACATTCAATTGCCAGTTTCTAAATTCTAAGCCTGA